TGTTTTGTATTGTCAAGAATTAAAATATTTTAAAAACACTTGCCAGAATGTTTATTTTGAGCCCTCTGAAGCTCTAGTTGAAAGGGCAAAAGGTATTTTCTTAATGGCAAACTTCCACTGTGTTATTAAAACATTGAGATTCATGTTTTTATGTCAGTCACCAAAGTTTCTTTGTGCTTGATTATTGTGAATTCACTGCAGGAATGGCAGGGTCTGTTTACTTCCTATTTAAATTTTTCCTCGGCAGATGATACTGAATGGAGATTTACAGACAGCAAGAAGGTATCGGCATGATCTGTGCCTATTTATCTCAAAATGACACGCATGTGATTTTGTTGACATTGTCACTGCAGGGAAAGGTGGGGGAGAACCGCCACGATGCTGAGCCACACGTGAACTTCTCTCTGCATCTTGCAGGCTACGTGTCGGATCCCATGAGTACCATGAGGTTTCATTCCTGCAGCAGCAGTGGCAGCTTTGAAGAAAGCAGCTGACAGCACGAACCCTCCGCCTGCGGAGAGACTCATCATCAGCCGGCAGCAACAGTTCTCACCGTATCGGCCTAACTCCCAGGCATCGTGTGTTACGCTGAAGATGCCTAAACCAAACAGCTTTACTTGTTGATGGCAAATATCCCTGTCGTAAGTTCTGCTCCAGCACCTTTCTCTGCTGACCTGCTTGAGGGTTGGGGTTTTTTTGGTGGTGTGCATCTGTTCTTTGACAAAGTGAATGTCCGCGAGGAATGCTGCACTTTCATCTTGAGTATTAGTTATTTGAAGAGATTAAAGTAAAAATACACCCGTTACAGTTTCAGAGCTCCAAGGCAAGTTGTTGTTACCTTGGACTGCAGGAAGGCGTGGGGCTACCGGCCCCTCCCTGACAGTAGGTGCCAGGGAGCTGCCAGCCCAGTCCCCGTCCAGAAGAGGAGCAGCCTGTCACTCCCCACCACCATCCAGGCCACCATGGAGGCAGAGTCGTTCCTGCTCACAGATTCTGAAACAGATCTAGTTTCTTTTTTGAGTTCCATGCAGTCCCAGACATGTCCCCTGTCTCGTTTTCATCACCATGGGCTCACGCAGGTCCCCAGCACAGCAGCCCCATCGCTGCAGCAATTCAGAGCCCTGATCTTTGGATGCTTTCCTGCTCACTGAGAACGAAGAGATTTTTTGGGTGGCCATTTTAATTGTACTCTTCCAGACATTTGTGTTTTCTTATCCACTTCCTTGTTTTGGTTTGAGTGATTGTTTTTCCCAAAGAGTGTAAGCTTTCTTTCAGACATTTGCTTGCAAAAAGCAACACAGGTACTCCAAAACAAACTTTAGACCAGAAGGAAAACATGCAAAATTGTGTCATAAATATGATAAACTTAACACAGTGCAAAGTTGCATTTTTGACTCGACGCAAAACTGCAGCAGAGTGCCATCTAGCACATGCTGAGCTAGATGAGCTTGATGAGTGCCATGACCAGCTTTGCAACAGCAACTCTGATCACTGGAAAGTAAAAAAAAAAAAAAAAAGAAAAGAAAAAGAAAGAGGTAGGGCAGGAGAACTTGAACTCTTCTTCTAGAAGCAATTGCAGAGTAAATTATGCTGTTATTTTTCTGGGGTCTTTTTTCAAATTAGCAAAATTTAGCTGCAAGCGATCCTGCTGTAATATTATTCCTTAACTGGATTCAAAGACACAGGTCTTATTGGCTGAGTAGAAATCAGTGTCCACAATCGCTGTGTACTGCTCTGTGGATATTATTCAGGATGTTGGTTTCCTACAACTATGATCCCTGGACCCAGGTCTGCGATGAGGCATTGTGCAGCACGACACACATGAACTATAAATGTGTAGTAGGCTCTGTGGGCTCACATCTTCCACGCATGTCATTCATTTCACAATCCTGAAGCAATAAAAAATGGGGAAGATTTCACTTAGCAAGGCTTACAGGTGTTTTTTCATTTGTTTCGTTTCACTTTCTGAAAAATTCAATGGGGGAGAAAGGGAAATAAAGCTGTACATCAAGTGTTGCAGATCTGCTGTCAGCCCCTGGTGCCACCCGGCCATTACTTTCTGCTCTGTTTGGTTCGTGTTTCAGTTGCAGTCCCATTTACACAGACAGCCTGCTGGGCTAACGTAAATGTTAGAAGCAATACACAGAAAGGTCTGGGATGCAGCTCACTAGAGGATTGTCAGACCCTGTATGAAATCCCCCAACTCCCCTATGAAGTACAGCTGGGCAAACCATCCCATCGCCGCGAGCGCCACTCGGTGAGCATCCCATCCCGCTCCGCCCCGGCAGGAGCAGAAGAGGGGGCTGCCTCAGCGCCCGCCCAGGAAGGGCTGATGACCGACAGCACCAGCTCCTCTGGGCCAGCACCAGCCTCTGTGGCCTTGCTGGGCTAACACAGAGCCACCTCTTCCAAACTGCTGAGAGAAACACATTTTTATGTTGAGTTTCAGGCAAGGGGGCCTTGCAAGGCACTGCTCTTGCTTTCAGCTCTTTCTCTCTGACTCACACTTCTTTTTGTGGCAGAACTCAGAAAGCTCTGACACTCATAGTCACAAAGCATTGTCATTACCTCTGAAGCCCACCAACACACATCATGGCAGCTGGGGTGTGAGAGAGTTTTTTGCGACCAGACAGCCCTCTCAGTTTAATGCCTAAATGTTGTGAAATCGAGGGATTCAGTGAAAAAAAGAAAAAAAAAAAAAAAAGCATCAGTGCAGCACCCTGGCTGCAGACCAGCGTTTCAGGGGACTAACCACTGCTTACCGCCGGAAGGGAGCTGCTGACAGCCTGTTGTACTCCTCTGGGTACTGTCACGACTTTCAGAGACGATCAGCATTTGCTCTGAGCATGTCTCTGGAAAAATCCATAGACAACTTGCCACCCCATCTTTGCCTGCCTTGGCAATAAGGCCATGTCACAATGTGGGCAATGCTGTGTCAAATCACTAAGAGCTTTAATAGAAACGAGCAAGAGGAAGCTTCAGTCTTTCCCATGGATCAAAGGAGATATCAGTCATCATGGTAACTTTTCAAACCAACGATGAGCTTTGTTATTTTGCAAATGCCTCGTCTGGCAGGAAGATCTCCCATTATGGCTATAGAATTTGTGGTGCTTATGGCTTAAAACAGGATCAGCCAGTGAGACAGGAGATACCCCTGCACAAGGACTCCACTAACCCTGCAGCATCTGAGCTGAGGGGCAGGCACATCTGCATGACCTGGTGAGGGGTCTGGAGCACAAGTCTTACAAGGAGCAGCTGAGGGAACTGGGGTTGTTTAGTCTGGAGAAGAGGAGGCTGAGGGGAGACCTGATCGCCCTCTACAACTGCCTGACAGGAGGCTGTAGCGAGGTGGGGGTCGGCCTCTTCTCCCTGCTAATGGGCGATAGGACGAGGGGGAATGGTCTGAAGTTGCGCCAGGGCAGGTTTAGGTTGGACATTAGGAAAAATTTCTTCACTGAAAAGGTTGTCATGCTCTGGAATGGGCTGCCCAGGGAGGTGGTCGAGTCCCCATCCCTGGAGGTATTTAAAAGAAGGATAGATGAGGTGCTTAGGGACATGGTTTAGTGGTGGGATGTCAGGGTTAAGTTAACGGTTGGACTTGATCATCTTAAAGGTCTTTTCCAGCCTAAACGATTGTATGATGACAAAATGCAAACAGCCAGAATTTGTTCAGGTTAAAAACATCCTCCTTGATCACTTCCCATTTTTAGTTCCTGAAAGCAGAAAATGAGTGTAAGACACACTGAAATTAGTATTCTGCCCACTCAGATAAATCACTGGGGGGGGAGGCAGGGGGAAGAGGTATGCCCCAAACAAATTCCAGTTCGTTGCTAACAAACCGTTCTGACCTTGGTGCTAACACCCTCCAGGGCAAACACGGTGTTACCAACAGGCACTGAACTCAGCCGTTCTGTTCTCCTTTCACTGTAACGATCCAGTGTCGACACTGCAAACCGCAACAAAACAACATCCAGATTTCTTTGCAACTGGAAGAAATACGTCATATTCTTTCTAGAAGTAAAAGAGACACTGGAAATCGGCATGCTTCGAGGAAAGACGTGCAGAGCAGATGGGAGAAGGTGCATTTGGGATGCCGATGAAAATTCCCTACCTGACTATCTAATTGACCAGATGTTTCATTTGCTAGAGCTACCGAAGCACAGGTAGGGAATAAACTGAAGAAGGGAGGGGTGGACAGAGATTAGATCTCATTCCCTGGTTTTTGCACTGGCCAGTGTATCAGACACTAGCAGGGCAGAAAGGATCAACTGCCATATCTGAAAAATCAGTTCCAGCATTAAATTTCTTTTTCAATGGGAATTTTTTCTTACAAATACCTCTGCATTATGTCTTTTTCCCTTGATTAAAACCATCATGTGATGGCTCTTCATTAATACAGCAGCTGTACCTGAAAACCAGAAACCAAACCGGGTGAGAGAACAGAAAATGGAGCAAGGAAAGCAGACTTCATTTGCATTAATACCGCTACGTACTCGCTTGTTCCTGAGCTGCTTGGAGTAATCTTTGAGCACTTCCTTGGAAAGTGTCAGAAGCGGACACACAGAAACAACAAAAAGTAAATCAGAAAGCTTTTGAAGGCAAAACTTCTGTAGTTTAGAAAGCTCTTTACAAGGACAACCACTTGCAAATAGTTTTACTAGCAATTAAAATGACTGGCTCCTTGAAGAAAACAATGTCTTAGTTAATTGGTCTCTACAGAAGAAACATCGGGCTTAGGGGGAAAGTGTGTTTCATAGGAGTGATCAGTTATTAATACAAATGAAAACTCTGAAAAAATGTAAATTACTGAATAGAACACGCTCTAAAGTCGTTTGCAGGAATGAAACCAGTTTGTGCCGTTCCCAGAGAAGCCCAACAAGCCCAGCACATTGAAATATCTATAAAGAATGAGACACTCCAAGGATTCTTACCCTGCTTTTAAGACCAGCAAGTGCCTGGTAGCTGTGGAAATATTTCAAATTGGTTAACATACCAGTAATAGATGATCTAGATTAAAATAAACTGGTGTCCAACTAAGCAAGGGCTTGCAGCGCAACCAAGAGCGAGTCCGGCGTCTCTGCAGCAGAGACCCAGCCTGGGGACAGCCCATGGGGCAGGAGGTGTTTTCCTGCAGGGTGGTCCCCAACAGCTTCCCAGGTGGCTTCAGCAAGCCCAAGGCACGGCGGGGCCACCTGGGAGGTGCGGCTGGCACAGCCCTGCTGGGCAGGCAGAGGGGTGGGTCACACCTAATTTGTACAGCTGAGCCCACAGAACACTGCACAAAATTCCCAGGCAGAGAAACCCACCTTGTAGCATGCGCGCTTGTGTCAGACGGCTGCACGTACCACCTGCATGGTGCTCTGCGCTGCACACTTTCCTGGGGATGGCAGTGACAGTTACCCATCTTACATCCCTGCTAGGGGTGCCAGAGGCTTGGTACCCAGTTCCAGGAGCTAGACTTCGAATCATCTTCCTCCCTCTGTGTCCACAGTACACAGCTGGGTTTTTTTTTTTCAACTGACGAAATGCATCTCTTTAGCCTGTGTATGTCACGAGGTACGATTTCAGCTGTGTAAGCCAGTAACAATACTTCCGAGGCACAACCATCAGCATCCAGTGACAAGCTACTGAGAATACCTGACAGTTCAGGGAGTTAAAAGCAGCCTTTGTGATGAGCCAAAAATTAGTTTTGCCAGCGGCAACACTGCTAGAGAGTCTGCTTTTCCCACATATGTTCAGTTTAATAATTAGTCTCTTTTTTTTTTTTCTTGGTGCACATCTTGTTTTTCCCTAAGTGCCACCTACATTTTTTCACTTTGAAGTTAATTGCTAACTAGCAAAGGGCAGCAGAGCAGAAATTACCATGGGTAGTGTTTTCCAAAACCATAAAATGATCCATTTGGGCGGTTTTGTGTCTTACCAAAATTCTACCTGCTCAGATTACAGGCAGTCCCATGTTTTGAAAGTACGCAAACGGCACGTCTGTAACAGCCACACCAACAGCAGTAGAGCCGTTCTCTGGGGCTGAAATTGCCATATTCAACTCAGTTCCGTAACTGGTTCAAGTCCTTTGACCATTTTAGAAATCAGTTGCCTTAGAGGAGCCAGACGCGTGAACAGTAATGCAAGGTCCCAGGCACAAAAGCAGCTCATGTCACACCACGGCCGTGTTGTACCAACAGCCACTTGCGACACCGCCAGCGTGCAGAACAAGCGAGGGAAAAGGTGAGTGCGCAGGGAGGGGGGGGAACCGTGCCGTACGTTGCGGGGAGGGAGCTCTCGGGATGGGGTAAGGGCTGTTTCCTTACTGCAGGTCAAACCTCGCCTGTCTCTACCCTGTAAATATAGCTGTCAGAGAGAAGCGTGAGAGGGAAGAGATGATCTCATCAGTATGGTATGAGCTCAGAAATTATGGAGTGTTCTTGAGAAATTTGATTTTTTTTTTCTCTCAGTATATAAAACCAGACTATTTGAAGTGTGGGGTTTTTAGAGCAATACAAGAACTTGCGTAAGTCGGCATGTTCCTAACCAAAGGATTCATTTTCCCAAATTGGTAAAATCATAACGCGCAAGTGCCATTCATAAATCTTTTAATCATTTTAAATAATGAATGGTCAGCTTTCCAGTTCCATATAATCACTGCTGCATTGTTCATCTGGGACTTCCCTGATGCCCCGGGTCTTCTGCAGCCTTGCAGAGTGCCTTGGGAGTTCAGCTGCCTCTTGGTTACCAACTTTTGCCTTCTTTTCTAAAAGGCTGAAGCGGATCTAGTCAAGTTGCCTGCTGCTGCAAACTCGTACAGCCACTTGATCATCTTCAGCATGCTCCAAATGCCAGATTTCTTTAAAGGAAGCTTCCACCCACATGGGAAGAACCCTCCCTCCCAGCTGAAGTGTTGGGAGTGGAGGCTAGAGGCCAGCAAGAGGCTGCCCCAAGAGGAGAAACCTGCTTCAGAGACCACCACCAGCCCTGAGGACTACCTGTCCCCCGGGCTCAGGCTCCGCGTTGCCCTTCCATCGCTCAGCACCCGCTTTAGGCAACCCCTCGAAAAGAAGCGCTCAGGCAGGGCCATAGCCCGGAGAGGACTTGTCCCTTGGGCAGAACAGGGCTGCTCAGGGCTCCTGCATGGCCGCAGCTCCCTTAACATGACACAGAGCCAGTGCTGGAGCAGGGACCCCACCCCTGGTGCTCTCGATTGGCAGAGCAAGAGTATTAAAGAGCATTTTGAGATGCTCTGCAGACCACTCCAGCACTTGCCTATGACAAATGAATCAAACCTCTTGCCTCTCGCATTTTCATCCCGTGCTCAGTAAGCCAGTATGGATCATGACCTGCCCAAGTGCAGCCTCAGCTTTAATCCTGACCCTTCCAGGGAATCCCTGCTAAGGCAAACCCCTGAACTGCTCCCTCTGCCCTTGTTCATCTATAACATTTGAATGGCAACATGTGTATGAATGTGCATTTGTAAATGGTTTTGGTACAGTCACGCTCACAAGCCACAGGCATTTGCTTTGCATGGGTATCTGCATGATACAGTTTTAGTGGCATGAATATTCAACCCAACATTAGTCATTCAGTTGGAAAGCAGAGATAAGTACTGAAGACCAGGCCCTACTTGACTGGCAAGTATTATTCTTACAATGAAATCATTTGCAAAAATTCAAGGGACTAAACAGACTGGTACAGGTTTTGTATATAGACCCAAGTAAATGTGCAGGTGTGCATACATATACAGAAAAAACAAACCTCGGGGGAAGGTCCTTAGCATGAATTTAAATTCTGAACACTTCCATACCAGGTGTATTCAACTGTAGAGTATGTAAACACTGATTATCTATTTACTGCACTTTTTTTTTCTATTGAACAACATTGAAAACGTCTTGGTCCAGTGAATACACCACTTCTGATTTTATGGACATTCCCTGGTTAAAAGGAAAAGACCACTGCTGAATGGTCAAAAGTCAAATATGTGCTTTTAAGCAAATATTGCATATCTTGCACAGAATAAACATTTCAACCGCACCACTCAGGATCCCTTGATGCAATGCTTTCATCTAAATTGCCAAGGACTCTAAAGCTATTATTAGTCTTTTTGTCTACTTTTCCCTTTCAAAGCACTTCCTGGTATCCAGACTGAAAATACAAATGCAACCATCTTTAGTACAGGAGCGACCAAACATAAATTACTTGATCACATTTATATTTCCTATCCCACGTATAATGATCTTAAGTGAGTTACAGTAACAATCCACTCAAAATTCTGCTCATTTCAGTTCCGTTTCCCAATCTGAAAACACAGTTATAGTCCCCTGTGCAGGGGTAGAGCATCCTGCAGCCCACCGAGCAATGCCTGCCAGGCTGCTGCGCACCCAGCCCTGGACACCACGGCCTGGCAGGGTCTCAGGGAGCCCTGGGAGGTGCAGGAGAGCTGAAAGGGAGACTCTGGCAGTGGAGATCCACAGCCAGCACTGGCCTGAGACAGCTTTACACTGACCACCCCTCCCGCAGGTTCAGCACAGAGCCCTGGGCGTTACTCCTGACTGACACCAGCAAAAGCAAAAGTCCAGGCTTTATTCATTTACAAATACGAGTTAGAATTGTCCTGGTTTAATGATTTTCAACAACATTTCAAAGTCCCAAGAACGCCCTGAAGCATGGCCAGCAACAAGCCTGGATCCTCGAGGAGAGAGAAGCCCCCCAGCGCACCACACACCTGCGGTACAGGGCACCCATGCACACTTGCCTGGAACGTGGGGTGGAGGCAGCCCCCCAAACTAAAAAACCCTGTGTGAGGCCACCATTCCCCCCGTGATCTTGCCGTTCCACATCTCTGCTGAACACCCTCAGATGCTCTTATCAGAATCAAAGCATTAATGTGCACAGCAGCGAAGACACAGTCCCAACTCACAGTGAAGAGTCTGCAGTTCAGAAAGGCAAACGGCACGCAGAAAAGTGCAGTTAGTACATAGGCACAGACACAGTCAAACATGGGCACATTGTACAGACAAACTTCTTGTCCTACGGAAATACGTACAGCCCACCTACCCTCAGCCCCCCCTCCCGCCAGCCAGCAGAAGCAAGTGGTGCCTGCGGGAGGAGGGGACGTTCAGCCAGTCCAATATTTCAGTGTTTTGGAAGAAACAAGGATGACAGCTGTGGAACCATCCTTGCAATTATTGTCTTCATAACTACGAAGGAGGGCTGTTTCCTGGGCTGGCATATACAGGCTTATTTCATTTGTCTGCTGCACATTGAGAAGCTGCTCTAGTAAAACGTGACAGATGGTTGTCGTACTCGTGGAGTAAAATAAAGGAGTGAACATCCCAACCGGCACAAATCTACAGCGATTTGTATAAATGTTGCAGGACACAGCACTGAAGGAGCTGCAGAAAAAGCTTAGGGGAGGGTTTCTTCCCCATCCTGGGGCTGCACCGCAGGCACAACAACTGCGTCTGGGGTTACAGCATCCTACAAAATAATGAGAAAAACATTAGCTTTACAGAAAACGTGCTAAACCTTGAGCTACTGAGATACTGCCGCAGCAGATTTCCTACAGGCAGATGCCAGAGTAACCAGAGAAGCTGAGTGCTGCCATTGACCGGGAGACTCAGAGCCAGCGGTGCTGCCGAGGCTCATCCATTGCCACCAGTGCCGGGCAGAGGAGCGGCACGCTGGGCGTCCAGAGCTGCTCCGTGTGGCCTGCGGGGCGAGATAACTGATGGGCCACGAGTGTTAGCATCAGAGCAAAGATACTTGCATTGAGATTTTGGGAACAGGAAAGAATGCAGAAGCTGCCACCCAAAAGGATTTATCTATCATCCCTTACCCCAGCTACCAGCAGCAGATATTTTAGGAAAGTATAGGAAATGGGATCAAGTGGTGCATCCTCTGCTTCTGACAGGGACCAGCCTGGGGACTCGAATGGGTGTGGGGGGCAGCGGCCGACCCACGCAGGACTCACCTCATGGGGACTGTGGCTCCTCTTGCCCCCACCAGCCGCTCCTGGGGTGCCTGGGCCCCCTGCAACAGGGCTGCCCTTCCTCTGCTCCCTGACCCCAAAGGCGCTCTGTGCACGCTCCGAGACACCCGCTGCCTCTCTCTCTCTTGTGTTTTCAGAGAGGCCTGGCTGCTCCCCCGCGGCTTTCACTCCCGCCCGCTCCTT